GTGTGTGTGTGTGTGTGTGTGTGTGTGTGTGTGTGTGTGTGTGTGTGTGACAGAGAGAGAGAGACAGAGAGACAGAGAGAAAAAGAGAGAGAGAGAGAGAGAGAGCAAGCAAAAGCTTCAACAAAGGACACTTTAAAATTACTTTTTAAAAATGCATATATTTTTCATGCCAGAAAATTCCATTCCCCAGGGTACATAGGTATTATTTTGTGACAAGTCTAGCTGCATATGGCACAAAGCCTCCCTTGGACAGTAACACTCAAGGGGAGCAATTTTCAAACTTTGCCTAGGGCATACAATTGCCTTCTCGAAGCATTGCCTGAGTTAGGAGGGGTGGAGTGGGGGTAGTGGTGGAGTTCATTAGATTAGCTGGAGTAGCAGCAGTAACAGAACGTCAGAGCTGGAAAGGACCTTAGAGACTACCTGTCTAGCTTGACCCCTTCATTTTACAAATCAGGGAAGCAAGTCCCAAACAGGTTAAGAAACTGCCCCAAGTTCATGAAATCAATTAGCGATAGAGTCAGGACTTGAATAATAATAACAATAATTGACATTTATTTAGTGATCTTTGTACCAACCCTGTGAGTTTGGTACTACCATAGTCCTTACCATCCCCATTTAACAGATGTGGAAATTGAGGTGGAGAGGTTAAGTGGCTCATGCAAAGTCACACAGCCAGTGTTTAAAATAGGACTAAGAATTCAGATCTTTCTGAAATCAAGTGCATTTGCTATACCATACAGCAGTAATTTCAAGAGGAGAAAGGGCCCCCAACCAGACAATGTACTGTCAGAAGCAGCTGGCTTACTATGCTCTCACTGAATTATTAAGAGTAACTCATAAGCACTGACATCTGCCACCTCCACCTAAGATCTCATGTGTCTTTTCTCCGCCACAGTTATTGTGGTGTATTGGAAAGAGCTCTAGATTGTGAGTAAGAGTAGTCAAAATCTGGATTTAACTTATCCCCTGTATGATTGGGAAAATGACTTCATCATTCTGGGCCTCAGTTTCCTTACTTACTAAATGAGAGGGTTACACTACAAGGTCTCTTTGGGCTTCAAATCTATGTGTTCTCTTTCTTTCTCTGCATGTCTAGGATCACCTTAGGCTAACCCTCTGTATAGAGGTTAGGTGGATTTTGAAGATTGGACCTGTCCTGATCTTTGCATCAGTATTTACCATTTACTGGAACCTCCAATATCTCTATTTCTACCATACCTCTATTAATGGTTTAAATACTTTGACTGAAGGATCATCCATGCCTTCTTTCCCTCCTCCCACAGAATACTTTCCTCGGTTCATTTGGGGCTTACTTACCTCTACCTTTCCAGAGCAGTCTGGGTATTTGGGGTCATTGGGCACCTCACATTGATCACGCTGGCCTTCAGACACTGGGAGGGGAGGGTCAAAGGAAATGCAGATAATGTGGAAAGATAAAGACCCCAGTCACACCCTGCTCCCCAGAAGGGAGTAAGTCAATCTAATACAAGAGGGGAAGGGCAGATAGATTTTCCTAGCACTCAACTTCTCAAACAAGAATTGTAAGCATGTATGCTCAAGGGATTGGGTCAAGAGATTCATGCTAGTCTTCCCTATGATCCCAAACCATGCTCAGGCTAGCAGATGGCAGTCCCTTTTATAGGTGTTTAGCCTTGCCCACTCCATCCCCTACTTCTTTCCTTAGGAAATAGATTTCACTCTTGTAAACAATGGTCTTACCCAATAAACAGGATGGACTATTAGGGAAAGTGTGGACTTGGGTACTGGTGGCAGATCAAACCTCACCCCATTATCTTACTGTGGGGCTGAGTGACTATTGAATAGAGGAAGCTTGGGGTATTTACTACCCCTTCTCCCCCCACCATACACATACTTTTTACATAATCCTCTCAAAATCTTTTTGAGCTTGAGCTTCTCAGGCAAAGCTATAGGAGCAGGTCTCATCTCTTCTCAGTGACCTCATTTATCTCTTTAAGTTAAGCATGCATAGAAAGCAAGGGGCTACTGCTTGGTGTTAAGAGCAGCTGAATCAGTAAAGAGTCTCTTAGACACTGGCCCCTTCTCTGCCATTTGTTACCCATCCAAGTTTAAAACTTCTCTGACAGGGTTGGAGGGAGGGTATTTAGGGGAATAGGATAGGTTGCTATGCTAACCCTGAATCTAGTGAAATTATACCTCCTACATCAACTGTTATCAATTCCCTGAAGCCCCACCCTTCCAAAAGTCCCACCTTTGGGAAGCTTTGTCCAATAACCTGACCTTATGGGAATTTGCTCAGCCTGTGAGGCAGAGACCATCACCACCCTTCCAGGGCTCTGCTACACAGAAAACACTTGGAGATGGAAAGTGGTTGGGATAAAGCGAAAGCAAATATCTATGGCCAGAAACTTGTAGTGAGACCCACCCTTGCTGTGCAGGACACTGTTGCGCAGGATTTGATCCACCTTCACGGCGATGTCAGAGACATTCTGGGCAATGGCCTGGATCTTCTCCATCAGCTTGGCACCTGGTGGGAACCTGAGCAAGGAAGGAAGTGAACTATAAGCCTGGGGAGAACCCATTTGTATCGTCTTCAGGGCATTATTTCCCAAGGAGATTTTTACCATGAGACAAGTAAAGGATTCAAGACCTGGGGCCATGTACATCCTCAAAAATCAAGGGTGGAAAAAATGGAACTCTAGTCCCCAGGGAATGCTGAAGGATGATCATGGAAATAGTAATGGTGGTTATGATAATAACAACAATAACTGACACATATATTGCTTTAAGGTTTTCAAAGTGCTTTTACACACTTATTTGAAGATAATTACTGTAACAACTGTGTGAGGTAGGTAGTATAGATATTAATATCTGCACTGAACAGATGAGGAAACTGGCACTCATAGAGTTTAAAAGAATTGCCCAGGTCACACAATAAGTCAGTGCCAGAGGCAAACTTTTGAGTCAGGCTTTCCTGAATCCAAATTTAGCACTTTATTCACCCTGATAATACTACAGGTATAAAGCATATGTGTAGAACCATATGTTTGGAAGCATTTTTTAAAAAGTTTTTATTGATTTATTTTCTTATATCACCTTCTTTTCCTAATATATTCATAACTTCTTCCCCAACTCAGAGCTAACCCTTATAACAAAGAATTTTAAAAGGCAGTTTAGCAAAACTAACCAACATATCGATTAAGTCCTGCAACGTATATATTATACCACATCAGCAGTCCCCCATTCTGTAAAGAAGGGAGTTGCATTCTCATCTCTCTTCCTTTCAATCAAGCTTAGTCATTATAATTACAATCTTCAGTTTCATTTTTTCCCCACATTTACACTGTTGTAATCATTGTGTATATTGTTTTCCTGGCTCTGCTTATTTTATGAATTTTATATAATTCTTCCCATGCCACACTATATTCTTCATATTTATTGTTTCTTATGAAGCTGTACTATTTTAAATATCCCATCACATTCATGGGATGAATTTGTTTAGCCATTTCCCAGCTGATGGCCATGTACTTTGTTTCCAGTTCTTTACTATAAAAAATGCTGCTAAAATATTTAAGTGTATCACAACAACAACAACAACAACAACAACAACAAAATAACATTTATATTTTGCTTCAAGGTTTGCAAAATATTTTATAGATATTATCTCACTTGATTTTTGCAACAATGCTGGGAGATATGTGTGATTATTTCCATTTAACAGATGAGTAAACTAAGGCTGAGAGAGGTTAAACAACTTGCCCAGGATCACAGTTCATAATTACCTAAGGAGGAATTTGAACTGAGGTCCTCCTCATTCCAAGTCTATACAACCCTTTCCACTACACCATAATACCCATAAAAATACATTAGATTTTCTTTGTCTTCGACCTCAATGTAGCATATGTCTAGCAGTAAGATCTTTGGGTCAGAGAGAATGGACATTTTAGTCCCTTTCTAGTGTAGAGTGGAACCTCTCATAGACTGTGCATGAGGATGGGCCTGAACCCTGGCCCACACATGCTCCAGCCCCTTACTAATGGGCATACATGACCAGAAGGTTCTGATTGTTTCCTTGGTATCCATGATTGCTGAGTGGTGGGGAATGTTATACCAAAGATGACTGAGCCATGAAGAAAAACCCACTCTATAGGCTATAAGAAGTGAGGAAGGAGAGATGGCTTCTGGTCTCCTTTTTTCTAGGCTTCCTTTTTGTTGGCACACAGCTAATGTTAGCTCTCTCCCTTGGACTTTCATTGCAGGAGGAAAGGAAATTTTTCTTCTCTTCTACTCCCTAGAAGCAGCAATGACAGCTTTGAGCACATGGCAGTGAGAACACATGCTTGCCTGGGTGAGCCTGTGATAGGATCTCAAGTTTCTAGTTTGTGTTTCTTTCTTTGTTTTTCTTTCTCCAAGCACAGGTGGCCAAACAGCAATCCTCTGAGAATGGCAGTTCTAGTCTTGAGAACCACCTGGTAAGTTTAAGAGACCAAGAGTTTCTGGGTGCTGACTGGCAGTAACTATACTACTTCTTGGTGGAAGGGATGGTCACCAGCAAAATCATCCTGAAAATTGAAACCCTAGCCACGACAGCTAGACAAACTTGAAACTCAAATTGCTATTTGGAGAGTACAGATTGTTAAAAAAAAAAATGAAATCTGTTTGTCAGTCTCTGCAAGCCTCCTATTGGGTATTTCTTATGTCTGAAGGAAAGTATAATAGAGAAGATGGATCATAGTTTATGTCTTAATATTATATTATATTAATGAACACTTGAGGTTTGGACACTTTAAGCATTTCTCTTAAGGTGAAAAATAACTAGCTGTTCTAAACTTGCTATCTACTACTTCTTATGTTGTGTCATTTTTTTTAGAAGAGACATTGGGCCATACCTTAGCTTTGTTTTAGAGATTTTGTCCATAGCTCTATCTTGGGGTAGAGATATAATGTTCTGACTTTATGGTCAGGCTGTCCCAGAAAGAATTTGGTCTTAAGTTCAAGACCAGAGTCCATTTGTAGACACTGCCCCCTATCCAGTCATAGGTGACATTAGAATATTTCCAAACTTCCTTCCAGAATGGATGGACCACTTTACAGCTCCATCAATACATATTAGTATGTCTATCTGTCCATATCATTGACTATTCCCATCTTTTGTCATCTTTGCTAATTTACTGGATGTAAGGTAGCCATTTCCTTTTTTCTTTTATTCAGCAATTTTCATATGGTATCTGTAGCATAGACTTTAAATAGTACAGATGGAGTCTATCTGATTTAACAAGTTCAGCTTGTTCAAAATGAAGTTATTTGGCATCACACTCATCATACTGGACTCAGCACTGGTGGAGATGATACTTTCTATTTTCAAAGTAATCCGTAATGATAGTGCTTGAGTCCTCATTTTAACTTTTAAAGCCAACTGTATGCAGGAGGGCTTAGAACCTGGCAGAGTTATGACTTGGGAGATGGAAGTACAGACCAACAACTAAACAAAAACAAAAACAAACAAAAACCAAGAAAGTTCAAATAAAAAAAAAAAACAGCTTCCTGACAGAATGCTGATTCAATGCTCCAGAGTCAGGTGGGGTAGGGCTAGAGTGGAGTAGGGGGATGGGTGGGTCAAAAGAAGTGGTGCAAGTACATTATGATTGCACTATTTTTCTAAGTGATCCAAGAAAAAAGGAATATGAGTTTTGGAGGCCTGAATTTCCTGAACCCAGTCAGGAAGACCTGGGTTCAGATCTTACCTCTGACTAGGCTGTGTGACTTTGGTCTGGTTCACCTCTCTAAGTCTTAACATATATAGTACCCACCTCAGCATTGTCGTGAAGGTCAAATGAGACAATCTGTATGAAATGGTGGTAATTAGGAGGGGTCTTCCTGATCTGCTCTGGATAGAGTATGCCAATAGTGCATGAGTGGAACTGAGCCAACCACCCATGGCCATTTGGGGAACATATATGTTCAGTGCTAAAAGACCTTGGGATGACACAGCAATCCTTTGGTCCCTATCATGACAGCAAGGGAAGGGAGCTAATTTAAATAAAAGGCCACTGAACCAGGGAAGAGTAGTCCATTCAGCAGACCTTAAAGGAGTAATTCTGCCCTCTGGTGTTCTCTCTCTTCCCATTTCCTAAGCAAGTCACAACTCTTTGAACCCCCTCCCTTAGGCTCTCTGCAAGGGGGAGGAGGGATTCATGTTTTCTCTCTGTACCTGCTCCTGCCCCTGCTTCCCAAGCACAACGATGGTGGCTGCTCAGACCTGGCAGTGAGCTTGAGCTTGGGCCTTGGGCCCCTGGCTTGGTGTTTCTTTCCCTGAGTGTAAATGACTGAATAGAAATATTGAGTGAAGGACTCTTTGGCTCTGTTAACGAGCTCAAGAGTTGGGAGTTTGTATTTATTGTTGTTCATCCTTTGTTCTTGAAGAGGACCAATGACATCATGAAGTGATGTCTTGACTTGTGTATGAATTGGATTTAAGTTAGCCAGAGCTGCACAAAGTCATCAGCCTCCAAAGTCATCAGAGCTCAGAGGCAGGACAAAAGTCAAATTGACCCAGGACACAGTGGGTGACCTTGGCCTTTTTAAACTAAGGTCTTTCCCAGGTCTCAGTTTGTCTGAGGCAATGCCTATTCAATGATTAAGGGCTAGATAAGAATTGAGACAAAAGATGGCTTAGTTTGCCATCACAAAAAGAATGCAAATGGGAGAAGAAGAATCTCAAGTTTCTGGCCTGAATAGAAAACAATTGCTACTTACACTCACTCTGAGCCATCAAAACCCAAACAATGAGTTAGAAAGGCTTGGACTGGGGCCTATTGTTGGCCACTTAATGAATGCCAGAGTGATTTGGGTTTAAAGGCTAGTCAAGTAGCTCCATTTGAATCATAATGAGCCTTTCCCAAAGCCTGTTTTTTCAGATCTATATTTCATAAATGAAAATTGCACAAGAAAAAGAGTTAATTGACCCAGCTTTTAGAAAAAAAAGATAAATAAATGAGAAATTAAAATTTTAAAAAGCTACTCTCCAAACCCCAAGATAATTTACAAAATATAAGTGACCAAAAATTATATTCCCTTGGACAGAGCACTCACATCTCCCCATGTGGATAGAGAAGAAGGAGGAAGAGGAGGAGGAGGAGGACTAGTTAATGTATTCCTGAATCAATACTAACTAGGAGCAACAGGAGTTTTCTAAAGCTATTAAAACATTTCTCAGAGAAGATGACCACCAATAGAATGAGCCTAGGGCATACTCTACTAGGATACTAGAACCTTGAAACACCATTATAGCTGGAAAGGATTTAGAGATCATCAAGTACAATCTCCTCATTTAACAGATAAGGTAATTGATCCCAGAGTCATACAGGTTATGTCTGAAGCAGGAGTTGAACTTTGAGTTCTAACTGCCTCAAAATCTGCCCCTCTCTCCACTATGCTATATTTGCCTTTCAAGTTGTTCTGACAGTGCAGAGCCAAAGTAAAAGTTTAAGTATCGACCTTCCAGGAGAGGATAATGGGAGTTATGGTTTATTATTTCA